CCCTTCTCCTACCGCTAGGCCGGCCTCGCCACGTCTCACCTACCCCGATTACGGGCACGCCCTGACAAATCTTTGTTCGCACTGCTGCAACGCAATCCCGTAATATATTTGGAGGCAATATTTTGAATCGCAATATTTTCTAATTCCAATTGGGACCTTTATGTACTCATGCCCCCCCCCCCAACACACACACTTATAAAGAAATTGATAGCATTTAAATTAACTTTTCCTGAAAATCAAAATTGCAATTAATATGGAATCTATAAATAATATTTTGAGACAGACTACTAAAAGCGGTTCTTTCAAGGCATGCATAACTGCTAAAAGTTTAATTTTTAGTACTAGTGCTAAAAGTGTGATGGTCAAAGGTTCAAATAAATCTATGAATGCAACAAGTAAAACTAAATAATTTTGTCGGACCGCATAACTTACTGACCTTTAGGCATAATTAAGTGATTTGTATAATTGAAGAAAACAAAGGGAATGTTGCCGGCCTAGATAACCGCTGTAGCTAAGACTAAAGAGTCGCCGGTTCGAATCCCGCCCCGGGCATGTGTGTATTCATTCTGTTCTCACAGTTGCCCCAATGTTAAAAATCTTACTGGTCGCAATGTGACCAAGCTGTTAAAAAATTACTTGAAGCAAAAAAGAAAAGAAAGTGAAAGGCTGTATAAAAAATAGTGTATGACACTCGTGGTATCAGGGATTTTGTTTTGTTTAACGAATTGCGCCACTCAGCCTCGTGGCTATTTTTAGTCGCAACCATTCCTACTCGCAAAATAAACAGTTACTTTAACTCTCGTATCATTAATAACTTTTATTTTCTTTTTCGTTTCGTTACCTTAATATGATCATTAATTTAATGAAAAGTCGTTGATTATCTCCACGTTAAGAGCACGCATGCAATTCTACATGCAACTACAAATCAGAATTCATAAAAGAATCAAAATCGTTTAATGAAGACGCTATTACATAGACGTGCCCAAGGTATTCCCAGTCGGCCATGAAACGAACAGTGGCCGCTCCTCTGGGTGGGCAAGATAGGCGCTACCTCCCTTGATGTTCTAGTTTAATTCATTTCTTAATAAGAAAAAATTAATGACTCTTACAATTTTAATATGGTGCAAGTATTATTCATCTGAAAATGTATTATGGACATTTCATTATCAAGGCAGAAGTCATACTTCCATTTCAAGCGTTTTCTACAAGCCCGTTCTCCTTGCAATGTCTTGTCTCTTCCCGTAGTCTCGCGCCCGCTTGCACCGCTAGGGAAGGCACGCTCGGGCGCTGCCTCGCTGCTCACCGTGTTCTGAGAACAGGCCTTGTAGTGGGCGTGGAGCAGTAGCAGGCTGTGTCCATACTTGGCGCATGCGCGTAGTGCTTATGCCAGCGAATTCTCTCACAGTCTGCCCGCACTGAAGACGTCGATTTCCTCTCACTTGCAAGCCGCGAAGTGAATGTGTTTACTTCTTATTTGACGAGTTAAAAATCGAAGAAAATTATTATTTTTTAGGAGGTCTTATTTTTTTATTCATATTTTACGTAATGATACATTTCCTTAAAACAACTGTGACACCTATCTCCTCTCTCCGTTGTTCTTATTTTATTTATAGTAAAACTTCATGATGACATGTTATCCGATTGCGGAGAGTACACAATGAGACATGGTACACAGTGCGGAAAGGGCTGGAAGCTGGAAAAGGAAAGGCGGGTAGTAGTTTCGACAGCAATAGTAGTTTGCATTTTAGGTTACCTCACTTCAAATGTGTTTGCGTCGTGCTACAAGTGCACCATTGAAAAATTTCGTGTTTGAAGTTGAGGAAAGTTACTGTAACAGTGGATTATATCTGAACATTGCTACATTAATCTGCTGTGAGCACTACATATAGTAAATACACTGAACTCATTAATAAATTAGCACTAAATTAATGTATTAGTTTTTTGGTACATGTTTTGAAACTTACTTTATATTCAACATAACTCTCTTAGTACACACTGAGACATTACACCATAGTACTCTCAGAGATGCTTCACAACTCAGCACTTAACTGATATGATGACACACTCGAAACAGAAGAAAAGGAAACCAAGAGATTTTCAGGAAGCATAAGTTTTCCACTGCAGTTTGTTCAAATCTCTTCAAATCATCTCAAGTGGCATTATTTTTTTTAAAATAGAAAACCCAATTTTGATTTACCCATTCAACAAAATATTTTTCTGTATTTCAAATTTACTTATTTTTTTTCAACATTATAATTATACTTGTGAAGTCTATAAGCATTTTGTTTTATTTTGAAGTAGGCTAAGTTTAGGACACGTTAGGAGTTCCAAGAAATTGGAAACGACCGTTGGATGCTATTTTTGGAAAACATCATTATCCTAAAAGCTAAAAGTGTTTTGTCGCTGTCGCCATGGCATTATGTCCTCCGCTGTCCTTTTCATCTCTACATAGTTTTTGAATTGTAATGGGGTTTGCAAATTTTTATTCTAAGTTTTCTTCTTTTTTTGCAACTATTTTACATTACGAAATTGTATTTAAGGATTCATTATGCCAAAAAGTGTCGCTTTACGTCCCCTCAGATGTAACATATCTACCTTATTGGATAATCGGTTTAACGACAATTTTGTGCATTAATACACAGGCACACGCTAAACGAAACTTAATTTACAAAACAAGCATAACGAAAATGATTGTTGGTAAACTAGGTTCTGTCCTCGTTTGCATGACAATACACAATCGCCAGCGCTCTGACCTTCGCATTCACTGGCGGACATTCAACAACGCCTCCTTCTACTTTTCTTAAACAAATCCTACGAGAATCTCTTTTAAATACTACGTTTCATTTGGTTCTCCTACTCTATTTCTTCCTAACTTTAAACCTTTCTTCTAAGGGTCCTTGCCTTCCTTTACGAAACCACTTTTGTTTATTGATAATTAAACTTTCTTTTACATTAAATTAAATTTTTTCATTCTTAATTTCACGAAATGTATTTACCACAATTTTCTGTTTGTAAATATTGGGGAAACTTTCTCATTTTACGCCAAACGGACGCATAAATAAATCTTTTTTGACGACGGAAAAACTCACTGCATTGCTTCTTTGTAAGATACTGAGGCTGAGACAAAAAAAGTACAAATGAGGATAAGGAAGTGTAATACACCTGTATACAACTTGGGATATATATCATTTAATCATTTTGTTTCTAAATTGCAACATTGTCTTATGTGTATATACTTAATGTAAATTTTATTTCAGTGAACAACTTACAAAAATTCTGTATTATTTCTGTAATAGTATTAGAAATTTAGTAATGTAGTATATTTGTGTCATTCCTCGTCAATAAATGAGTATGAATATAATTTTATATCCGAAATAGTTTATTACAAGATATTTGATTATATACAATATATTATTAATAATAGGTCTCTTGTGAGATATCACATAAGAACAACCTTAATAAAACAGACATCAATTGATGATATTGCTATGTGCAAAAATGTTCCTCACGCATGCATATGACCTAATGTATTTTTTGTCTTAAAAGTATTTCAGTGCGGATGTAATAAAGCAAAACATGTTACCATAGACAAAAAAGAATAATAAGCAATATTACGATATCAGTTTATTTCAAGACATTCTTTCCTCATCCTTATGTAAAGATTTAACTAACAAAATAAACACGCATTAAGGAATCAACAGGGTTTCCAGTAAGATGAAGCTCAGATGTAGGACTGCCTTTTTGCCTGGTGTAGGTTATCTTCTATATACGTGGCGCCTGAAACATCACATTAATATTGTTTTAATTTATCAAACCAATAGATCTTATTGAAAATTGGTGTGAATATTGGTGTGAAATTGTGAGAAATTTGCAATATCTGTACGTGGAGAGATTATATTGCTATTATTACACTATTTATTTGAATACGTCATATTACTGTTATTTATAAAACCAATCAGTCGAGCACAGCCCAGCAATATTTGAGATATTATTATTATTATTATTATTATTATTATTATTATTATTATTATTATTATTATTATTATTATTATTATATTAATATATTATTATTATTTTTGTTGTTATAATAATAATAATAATAATAATTATTATTATTATTATTATTATTATTATTATTATTATTATTAAGCAATGAATAATATTCATAATCATAATATTCAGGTTGAAGGCGGGAACATGAAGGAAAATGAGCTTTTATTATTTCAAAAATATTTGAGGGAGGACGAAATGAAATTCGCGAATTGTCCGGAGTGTTTCCAATGAAATGGAACCCAATTATCTTCTAGTATTTCAAATTATGAAATGAATGAATAAATAAATTCTGCTAATGACAGGAGTCGAATCTGCAACCTAGGGAGTATTACAATTAATTTCATCAAATTATCTGCGAATGAATTTTGAATTGATCACGAATTGCGGACAAACAAGAGAAAATACAATACTAAATAAACGAAAAAAAGTGTATAATATCTGAAAAAAAATGTACTAAACTATTTGCATCACTTATCTTCTTTGTAACATCTCAAAATATAATATTAAACTTTACACGTTTCTTTTTTATTTACGCTTTAATTAACACATTGGCACCATTAAATATATTTTCGGTATTCCGTGTGTCCCCTTCACGAACATTAACTCGCATGATAAAGAATCTGCTGTACAATTTGGGTTCTCCCGTGTACCCGACCTTCAATAGTAATAAATGAAAGAAATTTCTTACAGTCTAAGCGCGTGTGAGAGTAACCCTAACATTGAGGTTGCAAATATCTTGAAAATGAAAGGTGTGGGATTCAAACGTCTTGCGCACACACTCACTACTCAATCAATCACCCACACACTCACTCAGTCACTCACTCCCCCGCCACACACGAGAAATATTGCTAGTGAACACGCCCTTTATTTAGAAAGAACCGAGAGTTAATGAAATCAAACAAAGCGTGCCTTACCTCAGGATCAGAAGGTGCTTTTACCGACTTGTATGGCTCTGCTTCTCTTTTGTCCCTCTCTCCATAGAAATCCTTTGAATATGTTGTCTCCCAGAAACGCGGAGGCATCGCAGTCGTTGCTGGGGTGAAGAACGATTTTACATTCTTCCACCACTGTTTTGGTTTTTCTAAAAGTTTGTCTTTAGAAGAGAACGTTTCTTTGGTTTTGTTCCATAAATTACTGGTAAAACCGTTTACTGCTGTGACTCCTTTATTGAAACCCGACGATACGTCTTCTGTGAAAGATTTCGTAGAACTCTTAAAATCGAAATCTGGGGCAGGGGCTGGCACTGCGTCTATGCTCCCTGGCAGTTGCGAGAACAAAATGGAAGCAACAGAAAGCAGCAGTAACATGCATAACTTGACCATGGTGGAGTAGTTTATGTGTAGACGACCTTCTTAGTAATACAGGATCGAAAAGGCAACTGCTTTGAGTTGTTAGGGGAAAGGAGGTTTCCGGCGGTAGCTTGGCCTCGTCATCGAGATAAACACAGCGATAGATAACAGAAATCCGCTGGCCAAAGGACACAGCTCAGACATGATTTAGAGATTCACCACCGGGAATGCTCTTTTTGGTTTCTAAGATATTAAATTCTTTTATAAAATATTTTGAAGATGTAAGAGTAAAAAAAGTGGTTTCTTTTATCAGCTCTGCATTTAACGATAAGGGACGTTACTATAAACCAAAAAGCCTAAAATATATACAAAATAAATACAGTTTCTTTATTGGGATACTGGGTATTATGTGGACATTTCTTTTGAGATTTTTATTTTCATTCAACACTTGCTGCCTATGATATAATGTAAAGAACGCAAAAACTTGTTAATATTATATTAAAGACCTGAAATGATATTTCTAGCTGATCAACGTTGAGGGTTTGTTGCCGAAGCTGGTAGGTTGACGAAAAAATCGTAATGGTGCAAAAAATAATTTCATTTACGAAATGTTAACATTTTTTCTACAATCCTATGAAAATGCTAATATAAATGATCAGTATCATCTCTAGTCTCGATGGTTTCATCGAAAACCAATGACATCGTGATCGTTTAGCAGAGGCGGGCAAGTGCAACAGATTTGCCCGCAAGCAAATCGGCGGGCAGACGCGCGGGCTATGGCGACAAGACACTAGGCAGTAGCGTCGTCGGCGGGGGGGGGGGAGACCGTCCAGGGTGACACCACTTTAAAGTGGTTATCCAACTGACAGTCGGTTACCCTTTACGTCCCGATAGTCCCGATGTTCGACCATACACTAGACACCACCACACTTGCGGGCTCCTCTCTACTGGGGTGAGCAGAACGCGAGGCCCTCCGCGACAACACATACATGAGAGACGAGGGACATACAGCCATGCCCAAGGTGAGACTCGAAACCGCGACCTTTCGGACCGAAACGCTGAGTCGATACATGCGATTAGCCTCCTCAGTTACCCAGGTCGACAATTATACGTATACCAAATATACTTGTATTTTTATTAAATAATATATATATATATACACACACACACTATTCAGCAATAGATATTTTAATATTTAATTTATGGAGATGGTGATACCATTTTAAAGCCCTCGTTGGTTTGCGTGCTCGCTTTCCACGCCGCAAGCGCGTGTTCTATTCCCGGCTGGGGAAAAAAATGTAACTGTGCGCTATCCTTACAAATGACCCTGTATCCATTGCTGTGTGACGATGAGAAAGCCCACCCTAGGTAAAGAAGGTCAGTATATACTGTGGAGGGATGTCTTCGTGCTAACTACACAAACCCCTTATGCCACGACCATGAGGCCGGGCTACCACTGGTCGGCATTTGTCCCGTATCGGGCTGTCGAGCCAAGAACAGGCCAGGTGATACCAAAGTATTGCCCCGGGTGGCTCATACTGAAGCTGGGAGCTACTCACACTAGGAGACATTTTGGCGGCCGTTGCAGAAGCTGCAGCCCTCTTTCTACCTCTCGAATGCATTTGTTCGTGGTATCGTCTTTTAAACACTACGATAAAATGAGCTATACAAAGCTAAATAGCGATCTTCTACTTCCATGATGCTTTAACGCCTCGTGTGAAGAATTTAATTTGTGTGTGTGTTTCGTATTAATTTTATTACGTCCCTAAAAAATTGTAAGTGATGAATTTATCATTTGAGATTCATCACTTACAGTTTTGTTTCAGGACCATAATAAAGTCAAGGATTGCTGTTCACCACCCCAATTTGACTTTCATCTAGCAAAACATTAGTATATTGTATTTATAATATTTTATTAACCATCATTTTCTCAATAAATAAATAAACAAACAAGTAAATAAATAACTTTCCATGAGAAAGTGAATAAACAATTACCACTAAATCAATTAACCTATTGACTTTTTTATTATATAAATTCTTTATAATGTCTATAAAGTATATTAGTGTGTCAAATTTCGCTTTCATACCTCTTATTGGATAAATTATATTGTGCCTTGAAAAAGGGACAGAAAAATGTGATGTAGACATCCCTGTTTCTGTAACACACTTTCTCTTCAGATGGTTTTGGCTATTTTCTTTAACCAAAACTACAGCGTTCACCGCTGTTTTTTGATGAAATATGACATGATGACAGACGTACTAGTTTACAAAAGTACACTGACTTGACACAGACGTGGACACTGGCGTTGCTGAAAACTTCACTACGAGAGTGAGCTCTTTCTACAATATTTTTTCGTTACAAAAGGATAATTAACTACGATCGAATCATATTTATGTAACGTTTGGTATGGAGTTAGAACTTTGAATGTGATAATCCCGAAGCTAAATAAGATACGTAGTAATCAATAATGAACTTAAGGTAATACTGATCTATTTCCTTTTTATAAGGATAAGAGTAAAAACAGGATAGTTATTTCATTATTATTTCAAGAGCAATTTGTACAACGGGAGACAACATTTATCACTTTTGAGCAGACTTTCACCCTTGACATGCATTTCTACTATATTTTAGTGTTTTACAACTCTTTGAGAATGATATCCTCTTTAAAAAATGTTTGGCATTTACGTGACATTTTACCAGAAATAATTTGATAAAATGATAATTATTCCTGATTCTAATACAAATGAAAATTTTCCTGGATGTGACAGAACTACGTCGAGTTATCTGAATTGTTTCGATTGTGTTAAAAGATATGTCAGTATCTGCGGAGTGAAAAAAAAACCGCAAGTGGGGAGTTCCCGCAGCCTGTGTGGACGGAAGACTTATCGAGGTTTCCGTCTACGATAGCGCAATGATACCAGCAAGCCTGACGTGATGCTCTCGCAAGATTCAATGGAAAAGTTCAGTTTCATTTGTTTCATTATTCAGAGATACATTTGAATAAAATTATTTGACTTTTCAAGACGAAATTCAAGCAACAAAAAAGTAGTTTCAGTTGAAAAGAACACGTAGAAAGCAAAAACTGCAAGTTTTAAGACTAGTGGATCCATGAAAACATTTCGCACTTTGTAAATAATTGTTTTAAATGTTAAAATGACATATATAAGTGATAACGACACACTCAGGGTTAAGTGTTACGACCCTCGTTTATGAATGTCTCGGACACTCGTTCACTCCGTTAAAAGTTCACTCACTTCACTTTCGTTTCTTTGCCACCTTAGCCGCCAGGCGATTGATTTATTGTTTTGTGATTCTTGGCGCTAAAAAAGGCATTATTCCCGTAAGTGTCGTGCATGTTTTGCCTCAGGCGGTAGCAAATGATCTACGCTCGATCGATGAAGACACCGGCGGCGACCTACCTTCGGCTGCGGGGTTTTCCCTCAACCAGGTATCTCCCACCAGCGGGTCACCGCCACAGCCAGAACAAGCTCTCGACAAGTGTGGTAGTGTAGTGCTTGGGAATGTGTAAATAAGTGGTGAGGATAGAACAAGGAAGAGGGAGGAAATATCGCACGCTCTTCGTGGCTCGTTAAGGTACTCCAGCATTCGCCAGGCGACGGTCGGACAAACCTCAGAAATCACCGCCAGAGCAGCTGGACTGACAGCGGCTGAAATCGACCAAGCTACCCACCTGGTGTCGATATACTACTTCCTTCGGAACTCGAACCCTAGAACCTCCTGGCCAGAGGCACTGCACTGACATCAGTTGAGCTACCCTTGCCGGTAGTCTGGTAGCCGGAGCTACCCTTGGCCGAATTCAGCCGCGGGCTGGAGAAGACGTCGAGAGACCGGCTGCTCTGATCAGAAGTTTTCTGTGGTTTCTCCGATCAATATCAGGTGAATGTTGATGCAGTACTCTAACAAAAGAACCACCAACCGGGCCCGATATTTCCTTCATCATACTTGACCCCTCTTCTCCCGTTATACGAACATGCGCAGGTACATACTTACAACATATGTCAGGGACCAGTCTGAGCTTGTCGCAGCGGGGCGTGTCTCGATAGGTGACACCTGGAAGGGAAAACTCGCAAGCTGACATGTAGGTCAGTTCTAGATCTCACATTCGAGAGGGGGGAAACACCGCTTCCTTCCAGTTATATCCTGAACTACAATAACGGAATTAATGATCTCACCCGTCAACATGCGGAAACACCCGACCCTTGGACTGTTATAATACCTTAACTACACGATTTGTTGCGTACATTTTATGTCTAACTTACCCAAATGTCTTTTGATACTGCAGCTCATATAAAACTTAGTGGGTTGTTGTAATACATATATTTCTTTTACACCACATTTTAGTAAGAAATCAAATTTAAAATATTGATAATTTAAAACGCCATGTTTTACAAAATAAATGTAACATTATTCTTTTTAATTTTTTCCGACTTATCGCCATAAGAAATAACAAATAAATTAACAAACACATATATGCAAAGAGTGACAGCTATTTTCTGTAGCGAGGTTGTGATATTATATTGGAGGAGAAGATACAAAGAAAGGAGAGAGAAAGAAAGAAAGAGAGAGAGGGAAAGAGAGAGAAAGAGAGAGAAAGAGAGAGAAAGAGAGAAAAATAGAAGAGAACGAATAGACGAGGAGAGAAATAAAGAATATAAATATTAGAAGAAAGATATTAATAAAAAATAGAAGTGTAAACAAAGTCTAGTCATTACATTAAGCCAAGCGAGTAGATTAGTTATGAGAAGAGAGATACAGAGAGAAGGAGAAAGAAAGAAGAAAGAGAGAGAGGGAAGAGAAGAGGAGAGAGAAGAGGAAAGAGAGAAAGAGAGGAAGAGAGAGAAGAGAGGAGAAAGAGAGAGAAGAGAAGGGAAGAGAGAAAAGGAAGAAAGAAATAGAGGAAGAATAGAGGGAGACCGAAGAGAGGAATGAGAGAAGAGGGAGAGAGAGAGGGTAAAGAGAGCAAAGAGGGAGAGAGAGCAGAGAGAGGAGAAGAGTGGAGAGAAGAGAGGAGAGAGAGATGGGGAGAGAGAAGAGAGAGAACGAGAGAGAGAGAAAGGGAGAGGAGAGGGGAGAGAGTAGAGAGGGAGAGAAGAGGAGAGAGAGAGAAGAGGAGAAGAAGGAGAGAGTAGAGGGAGAGAGAGAGGAGAGAGAAGAGAGAAGAGAGGAGAGGGAGAGAGATGAGGAGAGAGAGGGAGAGAGAGGAAGAGAGAGGAAGCGAGTAAGGGGAGAGAGAGCAAGAGGGAGCTACGAGGGACGATAAGAAGAGGGAGATAGAGAAGAAAGAGAGGAGAGGAGAGTAGAGAGAAGAGAGGGGAGAGAAGAGAAGAGAGAGAGGAGAAAAGAGGGAGAGAGAAAGGAGAGAGAGAGAAAGAGAGAAGGGGAGAAAGAGAGAGGTGAGAGAGAGAGGAAGAAGAGAGAGAGAGAGGGAGAGAGAGGGAGAGAGAGGGAGAGAGGGAGAGAGGGAGAGAGGGAGAGAGAGAGGGAGAGAGAGAGGGAGAGAGAGAGAGTAAGAAAGAAAGGGAGGGAGACGGACAGAAAACTCGGTACAATCATTGAGGAAAGTACCAATGGTGTTTGTCCAATGTCCATGGGTATAATCAAGATTCTATGAGACACAGTCTGAGATTATTAATAGGGAATTAACATATTAACGCCCGATTAATCGCATTAACATATTAACGCCCGAATTAATTGCACCATGTCACGTGGATACGTTGGGTTTTGTCGGTGGATGAACAAATAAATTGGATAAATATACTCCCTTGATGACGTGTTCCACTAATTTTATAAAAAAATTGGTCAATCTGCATCCACGGAATAAGGTAAAAATTATTGAAAAAACTAAGAAGACAATTGATTAATTGTTCCCCAAAATAATGTATCCATAAAAATATGAGCTACTGCTGGTTTTTTGAGCACAAATAATATATTAATTAATAATTACCATTTAGAGAAGTACAAAAGATCTCGTTTGTTTACCGATATTATGATTGTTACCTAGAAGGGAAACCAGGGTTTGACCGAGAATTCTTCTTGAAAGTCTGACAGAGTTTGACAGAATAAGACCATTCTGTTAATTACATCGTTGGCTTTCCGACCTGTGCGAGGAATGCAGCTGTTGAAACCTTATATAAACCTGTTATATAAACTGAAGCCGAAAAACAACAACATGAAATTAAATGAAGGGAAATGAGGTTGTTAAATTCATGAAATACATATTTATATATTCAATTATTCTATCTCTTCAATTTTACAGAAAAAACATAATAATTTTTGCAAGAAGGAATGCAAATCGTACTAGAGTTATTTAAAAGGACAACATAACTCTGTAATGATAAATCCATAAAACAACTAGAGGACTTTGAAGAAAAAAATATTATTGAGAATTTCTGAAAGAATAAGATAATCGAACAAGGTGAGAGAGAGGGGACTACGAAAAGGAATAAATATAAATACATTGTCAGTCATACAACAAATATCTGAAGATGGTTGTTGTTTTCAAATATCATGGCGTTGAAAAGTTCTCCTCTTATTAAAAATTGCTCCCCTCATTGACCATACTGTAGGAAAATTTTGGCACAACATAATCTCTCAACGCTTCTATTTTCGACTCTCTATTCGCCAACAGTGACCAAGGGGTGAAATGAACGTCAGTAAAAGAAATGAAATAAAAGTAAGTGAAGTAAATGAATGTCAGACAAATAAAATTTAAATATATATGTCAAGAATTTATAAATAAAAACCGCAATATTTGTGTTGTTTGTATCATTTACCATTTTTCCTTCATAACGTGTATTTCATATAAAAAATAAATGAATGGGAATTGATGAGGTAAATTAATAAGTAAAACAAATACATGTGTATGGATCAGTTCATTCTTTATTACGATGTTTTCCTTTATCGACACAGGAAACTTGTGTCAGTACATTGAATTATGACTATCATGGTGTATAAATAATAGTAAATAAGTTTATGTAAATTAATGGACTTTTATACTTAAACTATATTTTATGCAGCATTTTTTACCATTTGTTAATTTGAGTACAGACTGTTCAAACATATTTTTCTATGTATAAACTTCTTGTCCCTTGCAGCAGTTTTTCTACCAGTTATGGTGTTTAATTATTAGTCAGTGAAGTGTATGGTATAGTTCACTATGTTGAAGAGCACTTCTCTAATTTTGCACTTTCAACCATCACAAACATCTAGAATTTTCTTGGAAGATATTTTCTTTGAGAGAGAAGTGATTTTCGAAGGTATGTAGCCAAAAATATTAATACAATAATTCAGAAACTGACGTCACAAATATATTTACTCCAGAATTCAGTGCATTTTCATCTCTGAATTCATTTCATCTCATTACATTCAGACTAAAAGTTACTAAACAGAAATAGAATTTAAAATATACTTTTAACTCTAGGGAAGGATAATAAAAATTCAGAGCTGTTTAGAAAAGTCTTACCATGTATTGTAGTTATCGTACTTTAACATTGTATGATTAAACCATGAGCGGTCGCGACCGATTTTTGACGGATAATTGGTGGTCCGCGAGATCATTTTGGCAGTCAGAACGAAAATTTTATTTTTTGGACGTTATTTGCGTTTTTTGTTTTCTTAATAATATAACAAAAATAATAGTCAATGAAATGAAAATATTATGAATAACAATTTACACTTTATATTGCAATAAATTCACAAGTTGTATTTATAATAAAACTGGCTCACCATAATGCAATTGAAGCCCAAAATTTCGCGAAATAAATATATACACGTGTTTTAAACAAGTTTCAACATCACTCTAAAAAGGCGCAATAGTGAAATAAAATGTGACACTGAGAAGTTTCAATCCTTAACGAAACTTCAATTTGTTTGTAATATTTAAAGCAACCTCAGTTTTTTACAACTAATTTTAATAATTTAATGAACACATTAGAATTTCAAATGTTTAATTTCAATTCAAAACTTTAGAGAGGTAACTTACATTTTCCGACGTAAGTCCTTGCATAATGATTATTTTACAAGAGTATTCATCTTTTCAACAAATTAACATGCTGTCATAACAGTCATAACAGTAACCGTGGAATTTAAATTACAAATATACTGGTTCGGGCAGTTGGCAAATACTGCTCACCAGCATTTAATATCCATGTTGTTCCTGTTCTTTGATGATATTTTCTTAAAGACAAACTGGCACCAGCACACCACACCCCACACGTACACCCAGTACATACTGCGATAATGGGCAGTCTTCAATCGTCCTCTGCCTCGGCGTTGCGCTGCAGGGGGTACACATTGGCCCCGGGTGTTGCGGCAGAGGCTTCAAGAAGCGAGCGGCACATACAGCGGGTTGTCCATCTCTATGGGCGCGAGCGGTGTGTCCGTCGCCGATGCCTCGGTGAAAGATGGATTCACAATGCGCGCCATGTCTGAAAAACAGAATTTATCAATTTCACGGATGTAGTTACTTTTTAACTTCTCGCCTCCGCGATTAACGAGTGTCGAGTCGACCTTTCTCGGCGGCAATGGTGTAACTGGACTGTTATATAACAGGTGGTATATATAACATAATGGTGTAATCGGAGTGTTATACCCAAGTTGGCGGGTTCAAACCCGGCGGGGACGAAATCGTGGATTTTTAAAGGCAAAAAAATCCTTCGTATGCCTTCCTTCGAAGGGGAAGTAAAGCCGGCTGTCCCATGTTAGTAGATTTATTGTATGTAAAAGATCCTCAAGTCTAAATAACGCCTCTGAGCTTAATTCGTGTTTCGTCACCTAAGGAAGACCTCCTTTCTCCGATAGTGGGTGAAAGGTGCGTAGCGAAATTTGCGTGGTCAGACGGAAGAGAGATCGTGATGGCCCGAGTCTCGCAACGTAAAATAAGGTATCAATTCAATTCAATCTAACACAAAGTTTCCTATGCATTTACATCAAAATAAAGATGCAGATTACTCGTATCTTGTCACTGTCCTCCCATATCTACAAGTAAAGCATTTCTTGTAAGTTAATACTCGCACTCCATTTTGCGGTCTTCCATTTATCCACGTGCTGCGCACACCTTGACACTAACGACGTGGGTATCACCACGAAACTTCGGAAAACATGTGAACTATTCCAATCCCCAAAAGAGCTGAATTGATTGACTGATTGATTGATTGCACGTCAACTGCTATAATCATTAGCCCCATTAGCGTAGTAAACGAAGAGATGCGGCAGTGTTCCTCTCCCGCTGGCACGTGAGGTCCGGCGACAACCAACAAGACGGAGGGGTATTGCGCCTTCTCTCCCTAGGTCTCTAGTCTCCCGGCTAGACTCCTCAATGGCGATAAGTGTGCATGTGTGTGTCTGTGTTTGTAAGGGGTGAGGAGAGGAAATGTAAAGAATTTTCCCTTCTATGACAGGTTTGTGAATGCACTGCTACGGTTTCGCTTTTTATTATTATTATTATTATTATTATTATTATTATTATTATTATTATTATTATTATTATTATTATTATTATTATTTAGAAAAAAATACTACTGAGCACCCGGACCCTAGAATTTACCCTCAAGATAGCGGGTATTTCCCCCAGATATATAGCTAGTATCAAGAATCCTCCAACGTCGGTATTCGAACCCTAAAAATCTGCCAACCAGAGTCGCTGCAGACACACAGGCAACGCTGGCTCTGAGATACCTTTGAAGAATCCACATTCTGCCACGCGAGGACTCACCGGAGGTGCTGGAGGGGCGCCGCCGCCGCGCGTGCCGTCGCGCCAGCACCGCCGCCGAAGCGGCCACCGCCGTCAGCACCACCGCCGCCGCCGCCAGCAGCCCCGCCCACCAAGGGAAGGCCGCCCGCTCGTCGCCCCGCGGCTCCGCCCCCGCCAGCGCCCCGGCCGCCCCCGCCGCCGCCGGCCCGCACACCACCGACTCTGCACACGCAACACTCGGACACTTCTCTCACAGTTCTCTTAGCTAGCTTATGTTAAACTGATTATACTTCTTATGATAAATAAAGGATGTCCGGTATCAATAACTTTTTTGTTGAAGCTTATGATCGTTTCGATCGCATAGCGATCATCCTCAGAGCTTGCAGCTTTCGGGCCGAAAACAAAGTTTGTTTTCGGCTCGGCAGCTGCAAGCTCTGAGGACTTTGTTTTCGCCCCGGAAGCTGCAAGCTCTGAGGATGATTGCTATGCGATCGAAACGATCATAAGCTTAAAAAAGTTATTGATCCCGGACAACATCTTTTATTTATCATAATAATACAAGGTATCTATCTCACCAGCGATCTAATTAATGATTATCTTAGAACTTCATCTCATTAATTATTTTACTTAGAACTTTGCAATGTGTACAGTATATTATATAACTATTCATTATTATAATTAGCAGAATTATATGAAGAGGATGTCATTTTTCTAACAAAGTTAACTTCCGAAGAAAACCGTACGTTTAACATCATGGACACAGAGAACAGATTAAACAAGACAATGTTTATGTACAAAACTACAAGAAAGAAGATACAATTGAAGATACAGTTTCTCCAATGTCCAGAACACAGTCTCTCTCTTAAGTATCTACGTAAGTCATAGCCTCCCAATAATTAGGCTGACCGAATAAAATAAAAAAACAACAACCGAGTCATAGCGAAAGAGACACGCCCCCAACCTGCTGCAGAGAGAGATTTTATCATTTAAAAACCCCACTTCTATATCGAATTTTATAATAAAAACCATATCACGTACATCTTCAGGAAAGCTTAAATAATTAACCAGTTTAAACTTTAAAAATGACAAAACAATTAATGTGTTTGCTAAGTTCCCTTAAGCCTCGTCCACACCTGTACTCCAAGTTGCGCGCCATTGTTGAAGGGCTGAATATCGTTGGAATCAGTGTTGAGATTTAGCGCCGCAATATGTCCCCATGAATCTAGAGTGTATTGCGGGTCTACGTGGTAGAGATTTTGATTCCCATCGAAAAGGGATTCAGTGATACAATGTTGCGCAACATGGCAAGTCTAGACGCGTGTTCCGAGAGCAACCGCTAGTCACTAGTCAAACACCAGCTGTTGATATACATGCTACTAAGATATATAAACTGCATAAAAGATTTTCAACATTTTTAGGTCATTTTGTTGATGTATTAGGTTGCAGTTGGCTCATTTACAAATTACTTCAATTCTATCTCCTGTAATGCCATCGTACGAGAAAACTTTCATTTGTTTCTTGGTGTGTCTAGCTGATCCCTTCTTAGCGTAACTTCTCTATACTAAAGATACAGACGTAAAACCCCGATTACTCGAATTTCTCGATATTTCAAATTGCTGAGACCATTTTGCCTTTCATAAATTCATAATATTCTATATTGGCACATTTTTTTGTGATCTATTGATGTACATGACAAGCATCTCTTCCCAACATTTTAAAAATACTGTTAGTACTGCTTTTGACAACGTACTCACCATCGATCTGGGGAAAAAATGATTGAATGGATGAATTCAGTAATTATTAAAGCACAATTTACAAAAGTCAGTCGAGAAAATGAGATAAAAAAGTTAATAATTTAAATACCTGCGTTAGAAAACCGCATTAGTTATGTCAGTATACTAACGAAAAATAAATTAAAATAATATCGAACGGAAAGGTAAATCAACATGATGTGACAGTAAAAGTGTTTCCAGGGACGCGATGTATGTATGGAATTATCACAAGAAATATTTATTATGATTCTGAATACGAATACCTAATTCACCGTATTTAGCATAGGAAATAAGTATCAAAAGTATATTTACGCGAAACTAAATCGCGCTAAATGCACACCATTTTTAATGGACTCTGTGTCAAAACTAAGAGAATTTCAAAATGTCGCAAACAAATGACAATGGCTCAAATTTCTAACCAAGAGTATAAAAATTTTGAAAATACCTTAAATTTATTAGTTGGAAATTTGAGTCTTGTCTGTGTCTGTGTTCGAGACAAATAGCAAATCTATAAAGTTTTTAAGAACTAAAGGTCTTGGTGAAAAAAAAGATTACCCTCAAAGTTAGTAATTTTATAGTGACAGTATAATTTTTTACTCTTACCATCAGTGAATATGTAGTCTGATACTAAATTAGTTTAATTTATCACTCAAGAACTGCCCCCATTTTCATTTTTATATTAACGAATTAAACTCCTTAAACTAAAATATTCACTTGCATGTTTATCGAAAATGTTTTCGTACAGTTATCATATTTTTACGAAAACAAGCATGTTGAAACCTCCTGTACTAGAAAGCCATAAACCGCGGTGTTAACTTTAATAATACTTAATAATGGAACTTAATATACCTATGAAAAGCAATGCACGTCAGCTTCTCTGTCAATGACCACCATGTTGTCAGGTTTTTGTCCAGTTTCTCTAAAACATTGAACGAATACTAGGACGGCCCCAGGTTTTGCTTCTGGTCATAAATGCAGTTTCACTATGCGCACGCTTATTGAGCTCTCCTTTTGCTAGCTTTGGTAGGAGTAGAGCTGGGGGCATTGGGTTACCATTTTCTTATAAATACTAACAACTCAATGCTGTACTTCGTTTACCAATGCAAATAATTTTCTATAACTCGAAAGAAAAAAATTGTGTTTTCAAATATTCATAAACTTGCTTTGTTGGTAATTTTATTCATTATTCTACTATTTAGGGTTAAAATGTGGGGGTTTCCAAAGCACAACAAAATGTATGCCGACTGTATTTCTCTTCCACACACGTATACAGTTTTTACTGTTCATCGGAAAAAATTCGTTGACCGATTAGTGAATCCGGCGCGTCTACTACTGTCATTAGTCCCATAAGTGTGGTGCATGATTTTATCGCGGGGAGTGGTCATGCTTTCTAGTTGGATGGCAAGATCCGGTGCGTCGGCATGCAAGGGGATTTTCCCTCCAGGTATCTCCCCACTGTCGCACCGCCACAACCGGGACAAGCTCTAAGCTCCCGACATCTCTCGAGAAGTGAGGTGGTGTAGTGCATGTGAGTATAAGGAAGTATGTTTAAGTAAGGGATGAACAGAGAACAAGGAAGAGGAAGGAAGGATTGCACGTGGTCCTTAACCCATTGGTTAAGGTACTGGTCCGGCATTCGCCTGGTTAGGATGGGAAAAAAAACAGGGACAACTACCGATCAGAGCAGCCAGCCGCTAGAATTCTCCTCCAGACAGCGATTGAATTCGACATAGCTGACAAGCTAGTAATCCTGCCACAGCCGGGACTGCAATCCTAGGACTTCCCGGTCAGAGGCACATCAGTGTCATCAATTGATGCATTGAGCTACATTTGCCGGTACAGTTTTTATTGTGGCATGTGACAACATCAATGAAGTGGACTACTCACGGGGATCGCAGAAACAGAGGCCTCCAGTGGTGGCGGCGGCGGGCAGTTGCGGGCAGGTCTCGTTGCGGCAGGCGCAGCCCCGGAGGCTGGGGCAGGCCGGCCAGGCCGCGGCCGAGGCCGAGGGCAGACCGGCCCCTGGCGCGGGGGCCGGCCTGGAACAGGGCGCGCTGCAGTCGGGCGGCGCCCACCCGCCCGCGCAGCGACACGCGCCGCCCGCGCCCGCGCCCTCGCACCTGCGCACGCGCGCCCCGCCCCTATGTACAGCCCACCCCCACGCACACACCCCTCACGCATGCACCTCATCAGGCACGCACTTCACCAGACACATACACACTTCACTAGACACATGCACTTCACTAGACACAGACACACACTTCACTAGACACATACACATATTCACGTAGGATATAATATATTCACATATTCACACTAGACACATAAACACATTGACTTCACTAGGCACACATACATTCTCTACACACTTACATAATTCCGTAGACGCATGGCCACTTCACTAGACACACATACACTTCACTCAAATATACATACACACACTTCACTAGATACTACGCACTCTATTCCATCAGACACATGTGGCACTCCACTCCACTCAAACTTTACACCACAATTCGCACTCATATTTTACTACACCATACACTCACACACTTTATTACACTTTATAACTAACACAGATTACAAACCATCCTACTCTCCCTCTTCACATAAAGCGCACACAAGAACACCTCTACGTTACGTAAATTACATCGCTCACACATTCGCACATTCATATACCAATCAACATCTACATCACACACACCTTTTACACCGTCAAGCACATCATGTACACTTACATACACGTATAACACATTACACATACACATACACACATAAACTCTCTCTCTCTCTCTCTCTCTCTCTCTCTCTCTCTCTCTCTCTCTCTCTATTTTCTCTCACTTCTTCCAAACACACACCACACACAAGCACCCCTTTGTACAGCGGCCCCTGCATACCAGCATAGAACTGGACGTTCAGTACGAACTGAAGAGAGATTTGGCTCAAGATAAATGGATACGGGTGTAATCTCAAGAAACCTTACCAACAATCTCGCCAGGCGGAGGCAATCATACCCGTAAAACAATATTAAATACGTTTTCTTAATTCGACAATGATGTCGTCAATAGTAGTGAAGAGTTCTGTGCGTTAAATCATGGGAGTGTTTATTTATTTTTAATATTTATATATTTGCTTCTACTCATTTAATTCGAAATCTAAAACAAAGTGACATTTTAAAATTTAATTTTGATAAGTTAATTTTTATTTGTTTTGAAAATTCTTTTTATTTTGCAAACGGATTAATAATACACATAAAAAGAAAGGTATATTCTTGCTCATCTCACAGCAGATATCTCAATTCTTCAGTATTTTGAAGTTGAGACATGCGGAAATTTAAAAGTTGTGTGGAATATTAGGCCTATCATGAAATACAGTACATAAAATTCTGTACCTGTATAATCTTCGTAATAATACGACAATTAATATTGTATTTATTACTGATTTAATGCAATAATTACTTAAAAAGTTAGGAATGTTCCAGTTCAATGCTGACATGTACAGGAGATGCTATGTACACTTGACAATTTACATATATTACAATCATTAAAAGGAAGATGTTAAAAGGTCACACTGCTGCAACTCTTGGTTGATTGTTACTAGATAAATATTTAAAACAATAGTTTAGAATACATCGAATTGAGTGTTGTTCAGAACTAATTTACAGTAAATGGTGTTGAAGTTAATGTGTTTTATTATAATAAAATTACTATTAATATTTATTATTATTATTATTATTATCATTATTATTATTAATGAATTTCTTGGAAATATATTCATGATAGAAATACAATATCATGCAAATTATTACCATAACTTCTTGAAATGTTTAAATATTAAAATCGAAAAATTACATTAAATTTCGTTTCAATTAAAAGATATTTCGAAAAAGTTAAAGAAATGTTAAGTCGTAGGCATCAGCGACCGGAGTCATTTGATTCTTTGCCGTCCGGGATGAGCTGGGTGTCAGTCCATCTAGCTGACGTTTCGGCCATCGTGATGTAGCCTTCTGTATTGTTGTGAAGAAAGCCACTATACGATGGCCGAAACGTCAGATCGATCGACTGAGACGCGGAAACGCAGACGCTCACCCCGGACAGCCAAGAATCAAATGAACGATACACAAAATTTGTTAACAGACAATTATTTTGACTTTCAAAGCAATAAATTGGTAAAAATATATCAAGTGTTATTTATTATCCATCTTTAGCAGAATAGTATTGTTATTTAAACATGAATATTACTATAAGCACGACCTAAACAATTAATTAAAACAATATGACGTTCTTAATTGTAAGGCACAAATAACAGACCCCAAAAAGACACAAAAAACAGAGAGAAAACATTGATTCAGTAAATTTTCAACAACATCAATACTATCATTATTTTTATAAGAGACAATAAAATAATATATTGTTAATAGCATAATGAAATGACGTTCTGATGAAATAAAAAAAGCAGTAATTAAGAACAAAGTTTTTCAGTCCAATAAAGCAAAAAATGCAGCTCATATAATGCCCAAGAAGAAGCAAGCAATTGCAAACTTTTTCCGAAGGATGTGAGTTCTCTGCTTACGTAATGTCCTATTCGTCAAAAGCATTAAATATACAAAGAGAATTGTGTACTGATTTGGTTTACAAAAATTCCAGTTTTTACTTTCTCCTGTACGTACGTATATACAGAGAATTATACAAAGTTTAGAGAGAATACTGTAATGCTGCGAATTTTAGGCAGAAAAACTCTTATTGCCGGGTTCTGCTAACGAAAACGTGAATAAATCCAGTTGCTAAGTTTAGGAAGAAAATTCCCTAACACGTGGGGTAGCCAGAATTTATATTTTTGGGTCCTTGATACCCAGAGTTGGGCAGAATCGGAAATACTTGTATTTAAAAATACGTATTTTCGATACTTTTGTAATTTGTATTTTGTATCGGAAACACATATTTGAACATGTATTTTGTAATTGTATATAAAATACTTTCTGATGGTATTTTTTATTTTCAAATACAAAAATTATTTTTATTGATGCACTGTTGAAAATTTGAATTTAAATGTACAGACAAACCTGGAAAACACAAACATCGATAACACGATTTTTTGATGTTTCTAAGCAATTTTTCATTCCCCATAACAGTATTTAAAAGAAGATTTTGTAAACTGAAAATTTTGGTTAAGGGATGAAAATTAATTTTGATACTTGGAGAAATCTATTAATGGATTTTGGCGACCACTTTACAGACGTTATATAACATTGTCACATTATTCATCCCCACCTGTCTGGTAGGTGGTGTTGCGCACTTCAGTCTGTCTGTCTGATTGTTTGTCTGTCTGTCTGTCTGTCTGTCTGTCTGTTTGTTTGTCTGCCTGTCCATGTGTCCGTCCAACCGTCCATGTGTCCATCTGTCAGTCAGTCAGTCAGTCAGTGTGTCCGTCTGTCCTCTGCCCCTCCGTCCGTCCGGTGTATGTGAACAACATTATCACTTAAACTATGCGTGCGATTTTTTCCAAACTGAATAAACCCCTCTCGATCTGGCCTAAGTCGAATCTCTGCGATTTTGAAAAACATTCATTAATTTTTATTAGTTCTTAGATGAAGCCCCCCTAACATTTTCAATATTTGTTCAAAACGTCTCCAATTTTTTTCTTTAAATTTCTTGTAAGAATAGAACAATATTCACTTATAAACGTGGCATGTCTTATTTTCACTATTAACTTTAAATTTTTGAAAATTGCAAAAATTTGAATTTTTTCAGAGTACTTTCACAATTATAAAATTAAAGACAGATTTTCCTTCCACTGAAATTTGTTCTTCATAGTTAGTTCTTTCAAGAAGGTCATATACATTTTTTGAAAGCTTTAATAGTTTTTTGCACACTATTGCGTGTAATACGTGCAATATAAAAATAAGATAAGAAGAAATATAATTACAAAAACAATATTTTCTCAAAAAATGCTACAAATTCTTTTTTTAACTTTTGGTAGGGTTAGTAATAAATCTGATGTAAACGCAATATTACTCTATTGTTTCCTTAAAAAATTACAAATATTTTTTTTACTTCTCTCACGCCGTTAAAATTTACAATATCAATGTATTTCATTGTTCAATGCGTATTTTAACACATAAGCTTCAAAGTATATTTAATGGTTTTTGAAATGTCCATAAGTTGTCCATAATCGTTGAGTATAAAAGAACTGAAAGGGGTGTATTTTCTCCGAAGTTGAAACCAAATTTTCACAAAAAGAATTGAACATTTTTCGCCGAAATTCTCCAGAATGCAAAAGAGTTCAATTCTCCCCGATATTCCAAAAGCTTGATTTCGGTCAATATTTGGGGCCCTAAAAACAAATAATGCTAAAAAAGGTAGGCTTTTTTAAACGCAAACAGAATGAAGTATCTCTTGCACAAAACGAAAAGTGAACTCCCGGTATGATGATAAGATGCAACGGTTTTATCCCTGAGCTACTGCAGCCGGTCGATGTCAGATACACTATGTGAACAAAACTATCCGGACACGTCGAAAATAGTGTAACGCTGTGGTCGCGTTTTTCATGGAGGGAGCCTGCACCTTTGTTGTTTTGTGTGACACTATCACGGCACAGGCCTACGTTGTTGTCTTAAACGCCTTGCTTCCCACTGTTGAAGAGAAATTGGAGAATGGCGATCGCATCTTTCAACACGATCGCGCCCGTGTTCATACTGCACGGCCTGTGGCGGAGAGATTCGTCCCTGTAATGGACTGGCCTGCACAGAGTTCTCACTTGAATCCTATCAAACACCTTTGGAATGTTTTGGAACGCCGACTTCGTGCCAGGCCTCACCGAACTACATCGATACCTCTCCTTAGTGCAGCACTCCGTTAAAACGGGCTTCCATACCCCAAGAAACCTTCCAGCACCTGATTGAAAGTATTCCTACGAGAGTGGAAGCTGTCATGAACGTTAAGGGTGGGCCAAAACTTTGTGTGTGGTGTGGTTATTGAATTCCAGCATTACCGACGGAGGGAACCACAGACTGGTAAGTCATTTTCAGCCATGTGTCCGGATACTTCCGATCGCATAGTGCCAAGAGTCACCGGGCGCGTACGTACCCGCGCGTGTTCTCGGGATGGCAGTGCGGGCACGGCCCGGGCACCGCGGGCGTCGACGCCGCCTGCACCAGCGTGGCGACGGGCGCGTGTGTGGTGGCGGCGGCGACGGCGCGGTCGCAGCGCGCGCCTGCCCACCCGGCGTCGCACGCGCAGCGGTCGGGCGCGGCGCAGCGGCCGTGCGCGCAGCCGCCGGCGCAGACGGGCGCGCAGCCCCGCGAAGGCTGGCGTTCCGCAGGGTCCTCCTCCCGGCGCGCGTAGCCCTCCAGGCACGTGCACGTGCGCGGCGCCACGCAGCGCGCGTTGACGCACGCCGCCGGCGCGCACACGGGCGCGCACGCGTGCGCCGACGAGCGGGAGTAGCTGCAAGAGGCGGGGAATTACGCCTTATTAGTAGTAGTAATTTTTTATTGCACTGGTTTTAATGACATTAATAAAACAGATTCAGTGTTTTTATAACAATGTATTTTTTTTACGTTTAGACCCTATTTGGGGTCTTTTTTAAAAATCTATTGTTCAGACCCTCATTATAAACAGATAGCACTTTGCATGAGCAATAGATTTCTACAAAAGTCCCCAAAAAGGGTCAAAACGTCAAAAAGAAATACATTGTTTTAATAAAAATACTGTTTTATTAAGGTCATACACACTACCAATAGTAGAGAGAGGATTTGTACGACATAAAAAAATACGCGCTTTCGTGTCTGATAAATCCAAACAAATATAGTTAATAAAGTATGCTTTTATTACAGAAAAATCCATGGAAGTGTTGTTAATTGATAGTTTACTTTTCTCTGGCAAAAGTTACTGATTAAAACTCTTGAAATGGTCTTTTAATGATTCACACATTTCATATAGATTTTGAAGATGAGAGCAATTCAAAGAAATACCTATGTAGTATCATCTTAAACACAATTAGAGCATAGAAAGAAGGCTATAAAATTATCTAGAACATGTAAAATGCCCAGTTAAAAAAATATGCTGACAAATATGTAACGTAATACTGTTCATCCTAATAAGAATTATTTTATTAACCCTTCGCCAGGTGCGCCATTCCCCTTGCACGAGCAGATGTGTGCCAAACACTGTGCAGAACCGTTGATATACATATTTTTAATATTTTAAAAGAGGTGTTTTGATATGAAAAGAGGGATAATATCTTATGACAATTAATTAAACTAGTTTTTCTTTAATTTAAATGACACGCAATACATTTCTAAAAAGAAAAAAATCTTCCGAATAAAAGCTTATAGCATAAAACTTGAAGATCGAACTCATTGAACATGGTCAAAGAAATAATACGAAAGTCATGTCTAAAGTACTTCCAACGTATTTCCTTAATCAGTTGTAGTGCAAGTTATCATTATTTCAATACATTGCCTCACAATTTCAAAAGTATCTTGTTTTGAAAGACCAACTAATAAGTGATAGAGTTTCATAAGAAATGCAATGAACGTACGAAACTGAAAGAAATATTGAATAAGTGGCAGTCCTTAATGGCTCTCCACTACACAAAACATCCTTTTACGGCTGATGATCAATAAGGTGCACTAATAGATAAAAGAAACTGCTAGTCAATACCGAGACTGTGAATACCTGAAATTGGAGCGCGCCAACTACTTTTCAATCCTTATAGTTGTATGAAAACGAAATAAGAAACACTCAGTACTGCAATGAGCCTGTTGGAAGGTGATGATATTTTTATATGATATGATTGATACGAGTTTTTAATAAATAGGATAAAAACCATAAAATGACAAAATATATATTATTATGCATATGTTAAAGAAAAAACGGTTTATTTACATGAGAATGTTAAGAGGTTTGTTCATATAACAGCGCTGGTGCTTGGAACAACGGAGCACGCAGCAACTTCAGGTCCACGCCGAAAAAGGCTGCAGGTTCAAGTACAATGTGAGAGGACAGTTCGAGTACAATGGGTGTTGTTTAGATATGTATGACTGGCTTCACTGACCATCCACGTACCTCAGTGGAACATCATCCCATACTTAATCATGCACCCTTTGCAAGTGGTCAAGGGCAGGCAATGTGAAACAACTACTCATCATCTACACAGGAAAGAGGAAGATATAATGATTCTTATTTGACACAAAAGGGAAGTCGAACGTTTTGCAATTGAATAAACAATTAAATGAAATTTCGAATTGTTTCCAAAACATTGAAATATTTTCACAATTTTATGAAATACATTTATTTTATATGCAGAACTGTACCTTCCCCTTTGTGCCGTTTTGAAGATTTGAGAACCAAAAGTATGTATTCTAGCATCTCTTTCTCAGCTTTCCTATTCTAGCATCTCTCAGTGCACAATGATAACTCACCCATCAAAACATTGGCACACATTTGGTGCGGTGCAGTTGGCGTTAATGCATGCTGGCTCGCACACAGGCACGCACGTGTTGTTACCTAAATCGTCTGCATCCAGCCTATAACCCGGCCAGCACGTGCATGTTTCTGGGGCGGTGCAGTTGGCATTGACGCAACCCACGGAACACGTGGGGACGCACGTTGAGTTGCTGGGATCCTCCGCGTCAGGCTCGAAGCCATCTAAGCACGTGCAGGTGTCTGGCGCCGAACATTCTCCATTCACACACTCTTGACGGCACGTGGGAATGCACGTAGAGTTGCTATTATCCGCTGGGTCCGGCTCGTAGCCCGGTCGGCAAGTGCATGTTTCCGGTGCTGAACACTCTCCGTTTACGCATTCTTGCCTGCAAACGGGGACGCACGTAGAATTACTGGCATCTTCTGTGTCGGTCTCGTAGCCAGGAAGGCACGTGCAGGTGTCCGGGGCCACGCACTCCCCGTTCACGCACTCCTGCGAGCACGTGGGCACACAAGTCGCGTTGTTGGTGTCTGCAGGGTCAGGCTCGTAGCCAGTCAAGCACGTGCAGGTGTCAGGGGCCGAACATTCTGCGTTCGTGCAGTTTTGTCCACACGTAGGCATGCACGTGGCGTTGTTAGCATCTGCAGGGTCCGGTTCGTAACCGGGAAGACACGTGCACGTGTCTGGTGCAGTACATTCGCCGTTGAGACACTCATTTGTGCACGTGGGCAAGCACGTGGCGCCGTTGGCATCTGCGGGATCCTTGTCGTAGCCGGGCACGCAACTGCACGTGTTGGGAGCCACACACTCGCTGTTGACGCATGGCTTCGCGCACACCGGTGAGCACGTGCTATTGCTAGGGTCGTTGGAGTCGAACACGTAACCCTCGAGGCACGTGCACGTGTCGGGAGCGGTGCACCTGGCGTTGACGCAGTCCTCGGGGCAGAATGGAATGCACCTGCTCCGAGTAGCGTCGGCGGGGTCCAGCTGGAAACCGTCTTGGCACGTGCACACCCCTGGTGCGGTGCATTTGCCGTTGGTGCAGCCCTGAAATCACACCAATCGCAGGTCAGCGAGGCACAGTGCTACTTTTCTGAATGACTATCATTATCAAGGAAAAGGTATCGGTCTTCTTGAATGAAAGAAAAAAAATATTTCGAATTATTATAATTTTAATAATTTGGAGGATCTGAATATCACTAGGGTCAAACTAAGGAGGAGAAAGTAAAGAAAAGAAAAACAAATCCCCTAGTTCAAAATACATACATTAAACGTTTGCATGTGACGGAACTTTCCTATTGCATAATTCAAAATTTCTTAACCTGACCAGAACTATTGTAAAAAATAGTTGGCGAGGATTTTGAGGTGAATGGTAACTCTCGAATTATGATAATTTCTTTTGTCCAAGAACTGCAGTTTTAATGTTGTAAATCTTAATGTTCAAAGCAAAAAGCTCAGATGGTTACGTCAACAAAATGCAGGTTTGGCGAATTTGAAGTCCCAATAAGATATGGTTGTTCTACCCTTACGATTGTTGGCAACGCCAAATAATCTACTACATAATTTTCCTAATAATAAACTAAATAGTAATTAATCATTTCCTAATTGCTTATGTAAGCAATGTAATAGTTTTCGGCTTTTAGTTGTCAATGTCCTATATAGAAAATTACACTTGATGACGCCCCTAGAAAAAGTAAGTCTCTCTTAATAAAGGAAACAGTGGATCATGGATATAACCTTCTAGAGCTCGGCGAGGGAGTTGATGGTAAGCGGTTGAAAAGCTACTCGTGATTGTGCAATGAGTAATGGGTGAGCGCCTGCTGAGTTCTACCTTTACCGAAGGCAGCAAATCGGAATATACTGTACGCGGTAAGCCTTTCTTCAGAAGTATATATTGAAAGAGACGACCACAATAAAAAAGGAACAAGAAGAATAGCTGCGTCTTCCCCCTTGAGATTCCAATCATGCGTTTGGGGCAATCTTACTCAAAAAGCAACAACTGTCCCGATAAAGAACGCAGGTGATATATGTCTCGAAGACAGAGGAACGTTAACCCTAGACTGCACACTGGGATCTACTGGATCCCATCAACATTTCAGATTCACACTCAGTGGAAATTTCCCACCACAGCCGCAAAGCGCTTTACGTAAATTTAAACCGTTAGCTTGCCTCATACTACTCACTGTCTCAGTTAGAGCCAATACTTCGCCGAGGATATACGCTAATTCGTCGGTGATAGAGCTAGGCTCTACTGGAACAGTGTGTAGTTTGTTCCGAACACAAATAATAAAATAGAAGAACTATTCTACATATAATGATCATCCGATGTGACCACGGGAATTCATAACATTTTCATTTCATCAGCATTGTTATGTGATGATTGCCACGTGTATTCATACTGTTAAAAATTGAAAAATAATTATAATTTAAAATAAATGATAAATTTTACTTTTTAAATTCTATTTTTGTGTTACCTCTTCTTTTCATGCATTCTTAAATTAAAATGAAACACAATAACACACTTTTGAATCGTATATGATCTTCTGAATGTTTTGTAACAATAAAAATCTTAGGAGTCTGTGAGACCTCGATGTGTAAGTTTGTGTAACAAAATACAAAGTTGCATGGTAAACACTGGCTGTTCGGCCATAGTCGTCGGTTGAAGTGAGGGGCAGACGTCAATATTTTAGCTCACGCACGCGGTTCAGCATCGTTGCTCGTCTCACCTGCGGGCACGTGGGCACGCACGACCGCTTGCTCGCGTCCGTCGGGTCGCGCACGTAGCCGCGCCGGCACGTGCACGTGTCGGGCGCGGTGCAGGCCGCGTTGACGCAGCCGGGCATGCACGTGGGCACGCACACGCGATCGCTGTCCAGCGCCGGGTGCGGCGCGTGGCCCGCCAGGCACTCGCACGTGTCGGGCGCGGCGCACGTGGCGTTGACGCAGCCTCGCGGGCACGCGGGCCGGCAGCTCGTGCGCGTTGAAGGAAACCCCGGGAGGAACTCAAAGCCTGCGAATGGCGATGTTCGAGAGTCAATATTCTTGACGAAATAATTCATAACAAAGATAATCTTTCTATATCTATTTACTTGGCGTAATATTTCTATAAATATTAAATTTCTTTTTCGTAATTTATGTAATAAAATGTTTTATAATTTACGTTATAAAATGTTTTATAATTTATGTTATAAATTTTTTTATAATTTATGTTATAAAATATGTTATAAAAGGTGCAGTGTGGGTTGGCTGGCCACAACGTGGCATCCCTTTGTCTTTATGGAGAGGGAAACAGGGAGAGGCATAGTTGATTTACCCCTCGGGAACACTTGTGAAGAACGCTTCAGGCCCATTCACAATGCAAACGTAAATACAAGCATAGCGCACAGACGTGTGGACTGAAGTATTCACAATGTTTAACATAAACGTAAGCAAAAGAAGAGGTTCTATTGGCTGTGAGATTTACTCTATTCTATTGGCTGTGAGTTTACTTCTAGATTCTATTGGCTGCGAGTTTACTATTGGTGAATGTGAGAATCGATTTCGAGGTATCAACTGTGTTCATGGTTCATATGGTGTTAGTTCGTCTATCGACTTGGATCTTATTTCGATTCTCGATTTTTAATTAATGTACTGTGATTGGTTCATTTCTTATGTCAAATTTAAGTATAAGCACAGAAGCTTGAAGCTTGCAAGCTTTAAATTAACGTCTTATGTGTTGTGCTTATGAAAATGCATTGTGAATGAGTCCGCTTTTGGACGTATCCAAATCCAAGTGAAAAAGTGCTTTCTTGGGGGGGGATCATCTTCCTACAAATAAAATATTGAAGATAATTTTTTTCTTAATGAAATCTATTCCTTATAGACTGATATTTAAATAAATTCAAGTTCAATTATTCGAAATTATGAGTATCTTTCGTGTAATTTGGCTCGAAATGTAGGCAATTAAAAAAATCACTTTTCCTCAAAACCCGCTCCATTTTTTAAAATTTCTTCCACGGATAGAAGAAGGGATCCTTAAAAGAATGGCGCCAGTCACATTTTTGAAGAACTCGCTAAATTTTTGAAAACTGCTAATTTTGAAACAATGCGAGAAAGTGTGCGATGGTGTATCACCCCTAATAGAGTATAGAGATGGAGCCTTCTGTGGATTTGTAGATGCAATTAAAAATTGCAAACCATTTTTCTCAGCTGGTTCTCCTCTTCGAAATTACATCGTTGCATTATTTTATCGTGTTCGGATTGAAACTTTTTGTTTCCGAAATATTTTTAGTATACGGAACAATGATTTAGATTTATTCAGTCAAAAAACAGTAAAAACTGTATGTGACGTAGGGGGGAAATAAAATGATGGAAAGGTCAGATGTTCCTAAGCAGAGAAAACGAAATTCTCACTGAAAGTTTTGTAGTTGTGGGATATTAAATGGAACAATTGCGTGCACAGATAGTCGTCGGAAGTGAATTGATCACGATGTGAATTTTGGGCACGCGACCAGTTATCTGAGGTCGTACCGGGCAGGCACTCGCAGCGCGCGGGCGCCACGCAGGTGGCGTTGACGCAGCGCAGGGGGCACTCGGGGTCGCAGCGGCCGGGGTCGTCGGCGCTGCGGCGGTAGCCCATGTCGCACGTGCACACGCCGGGCGCCGTGCAGCGCCCGTTGACGCAGCCGCCGGGGCAGTGCGGCACGCATGTGTTGAGGTCGAAGCGGCGGTAGCCCGGCGAGCACTCGCACACGCCCGGCCGCACGCACCGCCCGTTGACGCACGCGGGCCGGCACAGCGCCGCGCAGCCGCCCGGCGTCTTCTGCCAGCCCGCGCAGCACACGCCCACCGACTTGTACGCGCGCCAGATCTGCGCACAGGGACAGGTCGCAATGAGCAAAGGCGACCGAACGGCGCTGATTAGGACGTTGCCTACGTGAACTACGTTTGCTCTCAGTTGGCTCCCACGCAGTTGCCTATTGCGGAGTCGGCTACCTCGAAGTCGGAGTCGGCTACCTCGGAGTCGGAGTCGACTACCTCGGAGTGGGTGTCGGCAAACTCGGGCTTGGCAAAGTCGGGCTTGGCAAACTCGAGGTTGCCTAAATTCATTAACTTGAAGTTAGGCACTCTAAACTACTTCTTTATTGCTTACTCGAAGCTCGCTATTTTGATCCCCATTCTATTTTTTTATACGTCGACAGTTCGAACCTCTATAACTTAAATCTAAAACCTCGCCAACTCAATCTCGAAGTCTATCCTCTCAGTCTTTATGGCCCGAAAGCAAACCTCGAAAACTCGAATCTTACCTACATGAAATCTCAATCAATCATATCTCCATATTTTGAACTAACCTGCCTGACAGTTTCAGACAAGAGCCACTCCCCAGGAAATAGCAGGTGCATTGAATTCGATATAATAATACCTCATGAACTCTAACCTTACTAATATGAATATTCCTTATTCGAATATCGATAATTGGAATCTTTGTAAGTCACACCTCCATAATTCACAATTTTCAAAATTCGATCCTTTACACTTCGCATAGCCGCACGTTTGAAAGCACGCAGCGCATTTGACACTCACCGGTCGCCTGGCGTTTCCTCCACATCGCGTCCCATACATTGACCGATTTGGGCGCACATCACACCCGCGCATGTCAAAGGATATCAGGAACTGATAGAAAAACCAGGTGGAACCTAGATTCCTCCCCCAGTAGCGATTCCAACCTTGGAAATCCATCATCACCAGCCGGAGCTCTCCAGCCCGAAGCTCGCTTAGTCAAAGATCGCACAGTCAAACCTTGATATTTCGACTCTCGACAAACCAAACATTTATAATTCGAACCTACTCAAACGATAAGACATTTTTAATATCGACAAATTAAATATCAAAAATTCGCACCCTCCCGACTGCCTCTGTTCGCATTCACGAAAGCCGGTCGGGTGCTTTGGTCTTTCCTGCGTTATTTACGCCCACTGTCTTGACCGCACGCGCATTGGGCCGATACCGGACTAAGAGAAAGATATTCCCTTCAGCATGTGCAACCAGTGGAATCAAGGCTCATGGAGTGCGAAATGTTCTTTGACCCGAGTATAATTAACATGAAACATCAAGAGTTAATGTATTTATTCGATCGGAATTACTCACGTGCAGATATAATCTCCAAAATGCTATGCAAAATGTGGAAACGCGGAGTCTGCAAGCGAGCGTACATACGCACCTGCGTGGTGTAGCGGGTAACAGCTTGCTTGGGGCAGTTGCCACGGATGTTACACCACCAGCCGCTCTTCGTCACGTAGTCGATGTGGCTCATAACGAGAGAGCGGGTGTACCTGTAGACAGAAAAAACGGTGTAGGATGACCGTTGATTTAGGAAAGTTTACATTTCTCTAAAAAAGTTATTTTCATGATTCAGGTGGTCCCCCAAGGCCCCAAGGGAGACTCGAAAGGGGTATACGTTGTCGTGAAAAAAATGGGGGTTTACAAGTTGTGAGAGGGGTCCACGAAAATTTATCTGGTTTCGATAGTAAAGAACAACATTTTTGGCTTCACTTTATATATCAATGTAGGTAGGTAGTATGAGACAAAAAAATTAAGAGAGAAAAAAAATTCCAAATTTTTCAGTGATTTTTGATGGGCTGTATTTCGCTAAAAAACGATCGTATTGAGACTTTAAAAAAAGCATTTTGAAGTTTTAATATTCTAATTTTCAATTTTTTTGCCTTTTTTGGAATTACTGTTTTCATGTTATTTTATCAGATAGAACAAACATAATATTTAATTTTATTTTGATTTCTTTCGTCAATGGGCTTGAACATAGCAATAAAGTATATAGCATTAATTTCATTTTTCTAAAACCTCCCTTAATTTTTGAGTAGTGTATTTCAAGAAAGTCGGCGACTGTTACTTGTAACAACTTCACACATGCGATATTCAATACAACGCGTGTCGAGCCTTGCAAAGAACGCTTGTTCAAACATGCAAAGGGACGAAATACGTCTTGCGCTGTGCTTGCAATCTTGCATTAACTTGTCTGATTCTTCACCAATATAAATACGAATGCCAAGGACTAACGTTACTCATTTGCTTCCGGAATGTCGAAAAGAAAAATGTGAGTAAATCTGTCAGTGTTGGCCTGTGCGAAAAAGTAAGTACCTGCCTCTTTGTTACACATACTTTTATTTTTATATTGTAATAATATTATATTTGTTTTGTTGGAGGGTACTAGGTACGTAATAAAATTACATACTAAACAGGGTTATTATTCTATACTAAAAATCACAAAGCTGAGAAAGATTGAAATTTTAGTATTTTGTATTATAAAATTATGTATGTACCCGACTGTGATAATTCATTATAGGAGAGATATATGATTGACCTGCATGTTAGTATATAGTTAAGTGCCCTCGTACTCGCTAATGCTAAATGACTTAAGATATTTTCATGAACTGTTCGTGTCTTTCTCTACCACTCCCAACGCACATCAAAGTAATAAATAAAGCATTAAAATCGAGGAGTTTTCATGTCAAAATATCCTTTAAAAGTATTTTCTCTCGAATTACAGAAATTTATCAAAACATAATTAGTCAAAAATGTTTTATATTACATTAAAATAGGTTCAGCCATTTTCTGAAAGCCTCGATATGGGGTCTTAGCGATTTATTGCTTTTAATAATTAAAATCAGTTTTGCCGCAGGCATTTTGTTTTTTTCATTGCAATAATTAATTAATCATATTCTATTCTGATAAAATAGCCATATTGTGTTAAAACCGCCATATGGTGACTAAAACATTTTTTCTTTACAGGCAGGTAAGTGATACGAAACGGATAAATCTAAGAAGAAATGTCGACAGTACAGTGTGGATTATTTGAAATTTGGTTTTCTTCCATCAAATGCAGACATACGAATGTCTATATATCTTTTATACCGACCCCGGTAAGACCTCTTATTGTACTGTACCGGGTACTAGTGCATCTTTCCTCTCATATCACTCTTCAATTCACGGCCGAATCCACCCACATCTCTTTTTTATAACAGCACATTCTATAACAGCAACAAATGCTGTTTTTATCAGTTTAAATCATAGGTCGACTACATGGTGTATGAAACATTCTGTTGTTTTGCTTCCATTTGTAACCTGACCTTCAATTTCTACACAGTATTCACAACAGGTGGCGGATCAAAAAATTTTACAAAACATTTGAGCGTGTTCTAGGAGCAGAAGTTTGTTATAGAGGTGATAATTTGCTAGAGCATTATTAGATCGAAAAGCATTTAAGAATACACTGTAACGACTAGCTTTTTTTGCTATTTTGTAGTAAATTGTTGTTTACCCTCAGAAGGCTATAGGCAAGTCCCCTTTCAATTAAATTTTGTATATTGTTACTATGATATTGTAAGGATCGAATATTACATTCTACTTGACTAAAAGATTTTTAAAAAAACGTTAATCCCGCTAATAATTGTGATAGAAAAGAATACACACGAAAAAGGTAGATGGTTTAGAACTTTGAATCACATTCATGAGTAAATGTTTAAAAGATTTTCCCCTACATTTGGTTTTGGGGTAACTGAACCCGAACTTATAACTCGTACCATTTCTGACAATGGACAGACCGTTAAATTTCATCTTGTCATAATCGTATTAAATATCATGAATAGTTTACAGGTTGCCAATTATACGTTTGAGAAGAATACTAGGAGTTATATGGGAAGTCATTTTACTTATAACATCAGATAAAAATTCAAATTAAGCAATTCGATCCCACAATAGAATTATTTCTGATAAAATTCTTCAAATTCATATTATTAATTTCATTCGGGTCTACGACCTAGCAATATTTCGCAAAGAAGTATATTATTAAAATTGTGGAAGAGGGAAACTGGAATTAAAGATTCCAAACAGGCCGGAAGCCTAGTATCGCATTTGCTGGAAGAGAAGATTACGTTGAATTCTATGTCTGATTCATGAAAAAACATGACAGGAAAACACCAGATTGCGTTTATTTTAAAAACATACTTAGAATACGGTTTTGTAAAAACCTTAGAAGCTGATAAATGCTTAGAATACGGTTTTATGAAAGCCTTAGCAGCATACAAAATTAAAATAAAAGTACATCACAAAATAAGAAAGTTTTTTGTTTCCTTGTTGGCAGCATCCAAACATGTCAACGAAGAACTAATACCATACTAGTGGTTAATTTTTGAAAATGTTCCTTTCTAATAAGTGGGTTAAGTCAGCATGTGAGACATGAAATCTGAAAATACAATATGGTAAGTGATAATCTGAATAGAATTTAGTTTTTTATATTTAGAACTGATAGAGTAATTTATTTTCGAAAGCCTAATGATCATCTACTTAATTTTCAATTTTATTAACTATTATTATATTTTAACTGAGAGTCTCAAATTGTTAAATTTAATCATCATGAAGGAATTAAATCCATATATAACACAGCACAAAGTTGTCGCAAGAATGTAGATTGAATATTAACTAAATGAGCAATGAATACGTTGTTGAGGTTCATTAGTAAATAGCGTCATTGCGTATTTATTAATAACTTTTTCTTCATAGAATACGTCTCCACGGGAAAAAAATAATCTTAAATTTTAGTTTGATTACTTTAAACATTTTACTGCATCAACACAGATCAAATTTTAATTTTGATAAAAATTAACTTGTTAGACATATCAAATAATATTGTAGTTGTACGATACTGGAGCCTATGAGTTTCAAAACTATTATACGGATGCGGTAATTTTCAAGGCTCGTCGGGTTTTGTAAGTTATTACCACATCCTTTTCTCCCTATTTGGAAAATTTCTAGAGCACAATTTTTCTTTCATTCACACACGATTCAAGCACTCATAATCCAATATTCTGTTTGAAATATCTGTTTCAGAGTGTTACTTGTATTATAACAATTATTAAATCCCGTAAATTCATATCTTTATTTTGTCAAAAACAGATATTAATTTTAACTATAATAAATAGACAAAAGGTCCTTTATTCTGTCTCAAATAGGAGTGTAAAGGACTAGTAAAAAATGATAAATGCGTTTTAAATTACATGCAGTTAAAATATTTACATCGTTCCAAATATCGTCTTAGTACTACAAAATCTTTCAGAGACATTCCCTTGTTGGGACGATGTAATCATATGTGTAAAATCTTTGAACATGATTTAAATAATAAACGATGTATCGAGACAACTAAATAAAACTCAAAATCACACTTAATGAATGAAAATGTACTTTTGCAGCATTATAAATAAACCTTCTAGGTTATACCTTTGAAGACAAAATAATAAAATCTGACCCTAAACACCTAATCTGAAACAATTATTGAATATTCCAAGGGCCAATTGATACAGCTTTATTACATTGAATCGTGGGTACGTTTTCCAATTATTCTCAATGGATTCTGTTATCAGACCGCTTGTATTGATGATTTGAAATCTTAATGAAGTGTATCAATGAGAGTGCTCAATTTATTGTGGAAATGGATACATCAAAATTTGTCATCATGGCCACTCATGCTCTATAGGGCGATTTCCAGAACACTTGAATCAGGACGTCGACATTTTGAATTGGACAACAAAGCAAATGTCATTATCGAAGCTCTGCGTAAATAGGGACATTACCTTATTGGACTTGGCTTTTTACTTATTAAGGATCAAAGCTCATTTCATTTACGATTAGTACAAATTCGAATAAAATTAAAAATGATAAAGTTACTAGATAGAGACTTGAGCTTACTCCATACAAATCAACCAAAAAATATTAGTAATTCTGATTCACGATCAAGTGATTACAGCTGTTATCCCAGAAATGGTGCAGAAAATGCTGACCTACGACCAAGTTCAGTTCGATTTGATTTCATTGAGTTGAGATTCTGGACAAGCCTGAAATCAATCCAGTAAGTGTCGTGGATGCGTTTTCTCGGACACACGTAATTTTTAGTGGTTCCCCACTGCAAAATACCAGTTCATGCCGTGATCAACAAGAGATGCATAAATTCTACTCCATTTTCTACTTCAGACTCCAAGGGATTTGCCCATCTCATTAGTGGTACAGAACAGTTCTTTACGATCACATGGAGCATATCTTTAAAAATTGATAATAGTATCGCCGAAAGCGGATGTCATGCAGCTGTATCACAAAGCCCCATTTTCTAAATTGACGCAATACATGTAAATAATCACATAAAATGATCATACAATTACTGTTGTAGATTTGTAGGTAGGTAATATTAGATGCATTTCCGGAGAACTTGTTCTCTTTTAAAGCAAGTCAGAGAAAAAAAACGTAATTATAAAGTGAGGCACACAGGCGTATGTGATGATAACTGACCTTTCACGTTCTACAGGAAAATGTATTGAGATATTAGAGATTTTCACAAAACCAGTGTCATACACTAAATCGCACCAACAGGACAAACCATTGCATATGAGTGGATATTCAATTCATTTTTTGTTGCTCTTTCATATGCTTTAAATTTGTTGTCCGTGCTTCAAATTACATGGAATACAGGCTTAGCACATTCCTGTCCCTCGTCAGGGACTAATAATTTAATTTTGTCCAACATGGCATTCATCATTATATACATCCGAACACGTCAAAAAGTCTTTACTTCCTATCGCCGTATTGTTTTGTAAACATTCGTATGGAGATGAAAACGAGCTTATAGTGTCAAGTAATAAAGAATGTTGCCAGGGCAATATTTTCAACCTTATTTCTTCTTAGAATATAGAGACTGGTTTTATATATTAGAACTAATTACGAGCAAAAGTACAATTACAATTTAGCTCACTTTTTAAGTAGTATTAAACTTTTAACTTCGTGTATGATTTTATTCTCATCATCTTCAGTCAGTACTTAAATAAAATATACCAAATAAACATGAGTTCACATATTTTTGCCATTCACACAACTAGGTACAATTATACACGACCAACCACAGTACACAAAATAACACGAATTCTTATTTTCATGGGGCTAACAATTTATTATTTACCAACAGAAGTTACCCTATGTGTATCACAATCACCTATTAGGATACGAAATTAGGATTAGAAATAATTTCATTTTCAGTATTATAATCATTTACTCATGTATAAGTATATTTATGAGTATCTGAATTTAACAAAACTGTTCCTTCTCTGTTACATAAATTATGTTTACGATAATTATCCGTTCATAAATGAAATCTCATGTTCAATATTTCAAACTGAGCCAAAAGATGCTTTTAAATTACACGTGGGTAACTCACACAACACCGTCTACTCCAAAACCAATTAAGGGATATAAGCTGTACTCAAGACTCCTTTGGAGAAACTGTGATTGTCATCCATGAAGTAAATCATGATTTAAAAAAATCGGAATTTCGAGGTATGTGGACAAATAAGGTTGAGTATTCAGGTCCCAATAAAATAGAAATTTTAATTTTACTCCTGTTGGGAAAAGTCGTAAGCAACTTACTAAGAAATTGTACCAACAATTAACCTGTATAATAGGTTACTAGCATTCACGAAAGTCCTCTCTGATGTATCAAAACTTGCATGCAACTCGATGGAACCCTCTTATATTGATTATATACAAATGTACACATTTTTGTAGAACTATTTTTATGCTACAAATATGTGATGATAATACAAAGATAACTTAAATATACCATTATTTGCGTATGCTACCTAGTAAAGATTTTTTCAAAAACGCTCTCCTAAAAATTCACTGTCTTCCATGTGAATCTAACTGTCTAACAGGTGAATGACTTACTCACTACTGTCGCTGTCTTAAGTCTTATGTACTCACGAGACTTTGGAGTAGCAGGTGCCTTCGCCGCCGGCGGCGTGGGCGGGGGTCCGCGCCACAGCCAGGAGGACGACGAGGGCGGGGGCGAGGGCGACGGGGCGGCGCATGGCGGCGGCGGGCGAGTGCAGAGGCGACTGCCTCCGGGGGCGGAAGCTGCGGGCGCTCAGCGGACTAGCGATAGCGGTGGCGGCGGCGGCGGCGGCGGTGACTGTGGAGGCGATGGCGCTGGGGGCGGTGACGACGTGGACGGTGAGGACGGAGAGGACGCCCGGTGCGGTGACGGAAGTGCTGGTGGTAGTGACGGTGCTGGTACGGGCTTTGGTGGTTCAGGACATCAATTGATGCCACTCCAGTGCCTCTGATCGAGAGGTCCTAGGGTTACACTCCCGACGGTGGCAGGGTTTTCGACACTCCAAAACTAGGTCGAATTCATTCGCTGTCTGGATGATAATTCTAGCGGCCGATTGCTCTGGTCGAAAATTTCTGTGGTTTCTACGATCAACATCAGGCGAATGCCGGAGAAGTACCCTCCCAAATGGGCTACGGACAGTGTGCGATCTCGGAGCGGAGCCCCGCTGTTGGGAGATACCTGGTTGGGGAAAATACCAACAAGTTGACGTGCAGTCGGCGCCGAATCACACTGTGTTGGGGAGTATCACCGCCACCTCCTGCGAAAAAACATGAACTACACATACGGGAGTAACGACCTTAGGAGTTGGCACGTCCGGAATCACCAGCCGGTGTTGGAGGTGGCGCTGCAGGTGGTGTTGGAGGCGGTGGCGACGGTGGTGGCGATGGCGGCGCGGCCGCACGCGTCCCGGACGGTGTGGTGAGGGGCCTTGGGGCGCCAGACGCTAAAGGCTGCCTCCTATCAGCGAGTGTCCTCAATGTGGCAACGCCCTTGTTCGTACCACGTGTGTCTCAACGTCATGGAGACGATCCGCAAGTCGGACGGCATTCCTTTGTAATCCTACTTTCTGCCACCTCGGCACCGCAATTCTGGCAATCCTCTCCCCCTATCTCCAACAGCCGTGCCTCTCGCTACGAAACACATCCCCAAACACTGTTCTATTCTTTAAGCCATAAGCCACAGCACTATGTCCTACTACAGAACACCGCCCTGCGTTTTGTCCCGTATGCTACCCGTGATTATCCATAAATACCATTTTATAGGATAAAAACTCAGTTCTGTTGCGATGTGATAAGTCGTTCTGTTCTTGGGAAATCGTAATGGAATTCCCGCTAGCAAAAAATGTAATAAAATAGTTAAAAATGGCCACACTAGTTTAATTCTTCTCTGCTTAGGTCGGCGGGTCGGTCTGATATCGAACTGGCGTAACCCGTGTTTTGTTTTTAAAGAACTATCAAAAAAATTGGTTTTGCGGTTATAAATTAGTAATAAAATAGCTAAAAATTGTGATCCTGGTTTTATTTGAATCTGGCTTGATGAAAGTGCCGTCTTCACTGACCTTGTTAAGAGACTCCTGTACCAATCTCGAGAAACTGTTCAGCTTGCGACGCAGTCCCACCCAGGTTTTGGTTACACGAAAGTTGCGTGTTTTGTTACGAGAGATGATGCATCGTGTCCATTGTTCTCATCATTAGCCATGGTATTAAAGTGTCAATGTTGTTTGCCACGTTGTAAATGCGCGGGTGAGTTTGACTTTCCTGATCTTGAAAAATAGATTCGTTACTGTGTACAGGAAAATGTGATGTGAAATCGTGAATGAAATGGCGACGTAGCTTACGACTATATACATTTGTCATGTCCAAGAAGGTTCGGAGATGGTGTGGAGGTTTCAAAAGTTGGATGTTAGTTGTGCATAGTCTCTGGAGAGGGTCCGGAAGTTCTTTTGCGCTTAATATTTCCGCGTAGATAATGTTCAATATTTCCAATGACTGGCGTTCTCTCTTCGCATCTGAACACGGGGTGCGAATATGGCTAAATGCTAGGATGCCAATTCTCAAAATGAAGCACTGTCGTGCGCTTAGCGGCTGCAGCGTCGCACCTTGTTCGTACCCTATGCATGAACTCTCGGCAAGAAGAGGTAATAACTTCTAATAATTCGAGAAAGAAACATCATTTTTTTTCATACCGTGTGTTTTTGTAGACACTGAATGAACTGTCGTATTTCAAAAGCGCTATTAATTGTAATTCAACGCGCGTGTTGTTTCAATACAAAAAGCGAAAGAATTTCCTTCTTCAGAAACACGAAATAGTGACCTTCCAGAAAACAAATAAGAAAGAAGGAGAGAGGGAGGAAGGGAGGTAGGGAGATAGGGAGGGAGAGGGTGGGAGAGAGGAAGGAAGAGAGGGAGGAAGAGAGGTAAGGGAGGGTGAGAGAGGGGTGGGAGGGGGAGAGAGGGAGGGAGGAGGAGGAAGGAGTGGGAGACAGAGAGGAGAGGGAGGGTCAGGGAAACAAGAGGGGGGAAGTGAGATCGCCCTTTTCATTGAAAGATGGAGTAGGAGTGGTTAACCCACTATTGTGAAGCGACTTAATCTAACCTAAAACAGGAAAATAGGACCATGGATCTATCCATACTACCAAAATGAAAAAATAAAAAATTCTTTCAGCCATTGCCAGTGAATATTTCTAAGAAATCCGGCAGCACCAGAATGGTCCTAGCTTATCTCACGGGGATGAGGAAGAAACTGCATCAACTGTGGTCGTTCAAGGAAACTTCAGCAGCAGAATCACCTGCGGGGTCTCGAGGGAACGTAACAGCAGCCACGCACGTGGTATCCGAGGGGCACATGGGAGCGGCTAAATCACCTGCGGGGTCTTACGGAGAGGAGCGGCAGTTGACCACAGCCACTGGAAGTGGAGCTTGGCGGAAACTGACACAACCGCAGCGGCGGAACCAATGGGCGGCGTCGCGTGAAAATGGACACTTTTTACAATTTTTTTTGATTTTGTTAGCAAATCAGTAAGGCGATAATATTACTCGAAAAGCACCTGCAGAAAGGGGAATATTTAAATCAACGTTTAATCAAAGGTGGAGATTCTGAACGTATGCGGCAATGTCAACATAACGATGTTTTTTAACTGCTAAACTTTACATGGAAGCGACCATACCAGAATGGTGGCGATGTCAACACTTCTTCCTTTAACAAACAGTCCGCACTTCTTGCTCAATTTTCGGCATAATTTTAAAGAATTATGAATTAACAAGAGGCTTTATTCTATTAAATTTGTTCTCTTAATTCAAATCGCAGTCAAGAAAGTCGCTTGTCAATGGAGCTGCCTAGCAGCCCTTGAATCTCCTGTTTCTTTTGTTGTGCTAGGGTATCTCAAAATCAGAGAAGTCCATCATCATAATTATTGTATAAATTTGCAAAAATAGTAGTGCTTTTGTTTTCTTGTGTACGTACGTATATACCTAATATAGAGAAAGTTATTTAATGCTGCGGTTAATTGATTTTGAGATTTGAACGGAAACACAAGTTTTGGAGTCTCATGTTACCGACAATTGTTATTTACTACGCTCTGACGATTTGACGTCCGTTCGCTCGACTGCTCGCCCGCCCGACCGCCAAAATGAATATTTCCCGACCAATATACCACGGCTCAAAGCTCAGCTATGAAGAATAATCTTTAAATTTCTTTTAAGAATAGAGAGAAATACACCTGTAAAGACGGCAAGGGTACACTTGTCACTGTCAACTTTGTATTTTGAAAAACTGCAAGTTTGAAATGTTTTGGTCGCCATCGCGCATCGTTCAGTTCCAAATGAAATTTGTTATCAAAATTAATTTTTTGTTTATTATCATGTACTAATTTGAAAATATAAGCAGTTTTCGCGCAATATTGAGTGAATATGTTCAATATTAACAACAAACGTTTCTCAAAAACCGCTCCAATTTTTTCAATGAAACTTGTTCTACGTAGAACGCTTAATGCAATGAACAATATAACATTAAATTCATTTTAATATATTCTTTTAATTTTTCACAAAATACATAAATGTCTCTTTTGAATACGTTTCTCACGTCCTTACATTATTGACAGTTTTATACATAATTGCATTTGTGAGTACAAGTGCTTCAAATGATTTCTTAGTGAAGTTTCTCGAAAACTCAAAACTTTTCAATTAAAATTATTTTTAAAAATTTCTCATTTTCAGAAATGCATATAGGTACAGGACAAAAATCGGTTTATGTGGCCTGGGGCGTGAGAAGTTATCTGTGAATGTCCTAACCGGAACGGTAGGTACCGGGAGAGGCCCTAGTCCAGTGCTTGCCAAATCAATGCCCTGTGACGTCATAGAAATCTGCTGTTCTCCAACCTAAGCCGCGAAGAAAAGGAAGTGTCCGACGCGGACGCGGCCAAACAGTGTTCCAAGTTCGAATGATGGTACAGAAGTAGGGTGGAAAATCGATAATTAACGCTTTTGAACTTGTAATTATTAATTTGAACGTTTGTTTCCATAACAATATGAAAAATTAAATAATAGACTATAGATTATTACATAACTCAAAGCAATGATCGAGTCATCATAACCAGTACTATAAGTCCACTTCCATTCTTTACAAGGAGGCAGTTTTAACATTTTATTACAAAATATTTTATGCGTTATAATATAAATGAATTTAGTTCCTGTCGAAACAATAATTAATGTTTACAAATAGATAACCGGGAGGCTTCACATAGGAAATTTTGGACACAAAGTTTAATTATTTCATATCCGATTTTGTTTGAATGTTGTAAATTCTCGCAATTTTCAGTACCTTTCCCATAATCTTCTATCTGCAAAATCCTTCACTCATCTCATTATTGCAGGCTATCTATCAATTCTCAGAATGCTTATTTGATACCCCAGGTTTTGGGGGTCGCAAAGCTGCATAACCGTCTGCAAGTTGAACTTTTTAACACACATCAGTTTTTCGAACACAACACTCCGCCATTGTTGCTGTATCTATAGGAAAAACTTCTTTCCTAATTAAAAGAAAATTAACGGGCGTACAGAGTCTCCCGTTCATGTTACCTGAAACACAGGTAATGGCCCATTGCCAAGGTTTCCGTCATCGACGACCACAGTCTGTTATCCGTCCCTCCCCCCTTTCTCTCACTGGTTCTCTGAGCGCGTCTGCTCACAGATGGGAAGGCTGCCCTGGCG